ATTTAACCTTTCTAGGGGGCTTTGGTTCGCACCTGGTAGTGCTGGGGTTACTTTCAGCATGGTGCTCAGGGATTCTCAGTGTGCTTAGAGGACCATCTGGTGCTAGGCATTTGACCTTGAGTGTCAACCCTCAAGTAAGTGCCAGTCCTCTGAGTCATTTCCTGACCTCTGTGTGGCCCATTTATTTACTTGTGATTTGGGGGCTCCTCTTAATGGTGCTCAGGAACTACTCCTGGTTCTATGTATTGGAGTCTCTCCTGGTAGTGCTCAGGGGATCATGTGGTGCCAGTGCATAAGACTCATTTATGTATTTATTTATTTATAATTTGCTCGAGCAGGCCCAGTAACGTCTCCATTGGAGACTTCGTTGTTACTGTGTCTCGCATATCGAATACTCTCGGTAGCTTGCCGGGCTCTCCGAGAGGGGCGGAGGAATCGAACTCGGGTCGGCCGTGTTGGCCGCTTGTAAGGCGAACGCCCTACCCGCTGTGCTATCGCTCCAGCCATTTATAATTTATTTATAATATTTATTTATTTTTTAAATTTTATTGAATCACCATGAGATACAGTTACAAGCTTTCATGTTTGAGTTATAGTCACACAATGATCAAACACCCATTCTGCTACCAGTGCACATTCCCCACCACCAATCTCCCCAGTATACTCCCACTTTTCCACCCTCCCACTGCCTCCATGGGAGTTTCCCCCATACTCTTTCTCTCTCTCTCTCTGCGCTTTTGTGCATTATTGTTTGCAATACAGATAATGAGACACTATCATATTTGGTCCTTTATCTACTTTCAGCACACATCTCTCATCCCGATCTCTCGAACCATCATTTTCTTTTTTTTTTTTTTTTAATTTTTGGGTCACACCCGGCGTTGCACACAGGAATTACTGGCTCGTGCACTCAGGAATTACTCCTGGCCATGCTCGGGGGACCATATGGGATGCTGGGAATTGAACCCGGGTCAGCTCTGTGCAAGGCAAATGCCATACCTGCTGTGCTATCGCTCCAGCCCCCAACCATCATTTTCTTAATGATCCCTTCTCTATTCCAGCTGCCTTCCCTCGCCCCCCCCCCACTCATGAGGGAGACTTCCAACTATGGAGCAATCTTCCTGGCCCTTGTGTCTACTGTCCTTGGGTGTTAGTCTCATGTTATGCTATTCTGTACTCCACAAATGAGTGCAGTCCTTCTATATCTGTTCCTCTCTTTCTGACTCATTTCACTCAGCATGATGCTTTCCATGTCTATCCACTTATAAGCAAATTTCATGACTTCATCTCTCCTAACAGCTGCATAGTATTCCATTGTGTAGATATACCAAAGTTTCTTTAACCAGCCGTCTGTTCTTGGGCACTCGGGTTGTTTCCATATTTTGGCTATTGTGAACAGTGCTGCAATGAACATATAGGTGCAGATGTCATTTCTACTGTGCTTTTTTGCACCCTCGGGATATATTCCCAGAAGTGGTATTGCAGGGTCATATGGAAGCTCAATTTCTAGTTTTTGAAGGACTGTCCATATTGTTTTCCAGAAAGGCTGGACTAGTGGGCATTCCTACCAACAGTGAAAGAGTGTCCCTTTTTCCCCATATCCACCCAGCACTGGTTGCTTTTGTTCTTTTGATTGTGTGCTAGTCTCTGTGGTATAAGATGATATCTCATTGTTGTTTTGATTTGCATCTCCCTGATGATTAGTGATGTGGGGCATAATTTCATGTGCCTTTTGGCCATTTGTATTTCTTTTTTGACGAAGCTTCTGTTCATTTCTTCTCCCTATTTTTGGATGGGGTTGGAGGTTTTTTTCTTGTACAGTTCTACTGATGTCTTGTATATCCTGGATATTAACCCCTTCTCAGATGGATACTGAGTAAATATTCTTTCCCATTCTGTGGGTTCTCTCTGTATTTTAGTCACTGTTTCTTTTGAAGTGCAGAAGCTTCTTAGTTTGATGTAGTCCCATTTGTATTTGTTTGTTTGTTTGCACTTGCTTGGTCAGTGGTGTTTCACCCTTAAAGATGCTTGTAGCTTTAATGTCATGGAGGGTTCTTCCTACATATTCCTCTATGTACCTTATAGATTCAGGTCTGATATTTAGGTCTTTAATCCACTTTGATCTTATTTTTGTGACTGGCATTCATTTTTTTTTTCTAGTTTTCCCAGCACCACTTGTTGAAGAGACTTTCCTTGTTCCACTTCACATTTCTTGCTCCTTTGTCAAAGATTAAGTAGTCATATATTTGGGAGTCTGTGACAGAATATTCAACTCTGTTCCATTGGTTTGAGGGTCTGTTTCTAGCCCAATACCATGCTGTGTTAATTATTTCTGCTTTGTAGTATAGTTTGAAGTTGAGGAAGGTGATGCCACCCATCCTCTTTTTCCCAAGGATTGCTTTAGCTATTCATGGCGGATTGTTGTTCCATGTGAATTTCAGGAGTTTTTTGTCTATTTCTTTGAAAAATGTCATGGGTATCCTGAGAGGGACAGCATTAAATTTGTATAGTGCTTTGGGCAGTATTTCCATTTTGATAATGTTAATCCTCCCTATCCAGGAACAGGGGATGTGTCTCCATTTCCTAGTACCTAAGACCCATTTAAAGGAAAAAGCAATTAAGAGAAACTGTTCCCTGAAAAAAGTTCTGATGGCAACTACACTAGACAGAACTTTAAACCAGCAGCCCTAAGGATGTTCAAAAGACTAAAGGAAAACCTAGAGAATGTCAGAAAGATGGTGGATAAGCAAAATGTTGCTATTTTTCAATTGCAGCATTTGTATGATACATTATTGTTTTGGTTCTGTTGTAGGTAGTTTATGACTTCAGTTTTGCTTTTCTCTGTGACTTAAGGGTTATTAATAAATTGTGTTCCCTTATTTTTTGCTTGGTTATCCTTGTCCTAATATTTCACCATAGAGCAGAAATTCCTATATCATGTTCCTTGAGACTTTGCTAGCAACACTGCCATGGACATAAAGTGAAAGGAAGGAAGACCTAATCCTTAGCATAACCCCAAATTTTATTTTATTTGAAGAATATTTATTTGTCTTTTTAAAAAAGTATATTGTTTCATAATACTATAGAAGAAGATAAAAAGAAAAGGAATATTTTCCTTGGTATATAAAAATATTATATAACAGGGGCCAGAGAGATAGTATAGCAGGTAGGGCACTTACCTTGCATGCAGTCAACCCAGGTTCAATGTCCCACTCCCCAGATGGTTCTCTGAGCATTGTCAGGAATGATCCCTGAATTCAGAGTCTAGAGTAAGTCTTGATCACCCCCACACAAAAAATGAAGACATACAATTGGTCAAAAACTATATGGAAAAAAAGCTCTACATCACATATTATTGGGAAAATGTAAATTAAAACAACAATGAGATATTATTTTACACTAGTGAGATGGTATAAGATGCCACAAAACACACACAAAAAAAATGACCAGTATAGGCATGGATCTGGAGAAAGGGACAATCTTTATTCACTGCTAGTGAGAATGTTGACTGGTCCGGCCTTCTGGGGGGAAAAAAATATGGACACGTCTCAAAAAAACTAGAAATTGAGCTCCCAATGACCCACTAATTCTACGTATTAATATCCCAAGGGCCCTAAAATGCTACTCATTGCACACTATTCATAGTAGCCTGTTGTATAACATTGGATTCTTCTTGCTTCTCCCGCAGGGAGCTTAGGTTTATTGAGCTACTCCCACAACAGTGCTCCTGAGGCACACCCAATTCCATCAGACACTAATAATCCTATATTGATTTTCTCTGTCCTTTATGTCACCTTCATGGTTTAGCAATGTCCTTTTTGTATAGACACAGGAAGACAGTTAATGCTATGCTTTTGTACCATGGGAGTTAATTGACTCCAAATAATATTTATTCCTGGACATCCATCATATTTACTTGACTTAAACCTCAGTTGCCTTTACTTCCTAACTCCTCCAAAAGGAGGGTTGCGATGGAGGGACTGGACAAGAACTAGGAGGACTCTGAGGAAAGGAGGATGCTAGAACTATGATGACTGGGACTACGACCAAAACTACAACTATGATTGTGCTGTAAGGGGAGAGATAAGACTACACTGGGGAGGAAAGAGAAATAAACTGACTACCAACCAGCCTGGGATCCTGTTTCTCCATTCCCCTGGTTCTTCGTCCATCCATCACTGTGGGCCAGACAGGGGAACCATTGTGTACCACCGAACGCTATAGTCCCACGTGCCCACGCTTTCTTTTGAAAACTCATAGTAGCAAAAATTTGGAAGCAACCCATGTGTTCAAGAACAGATAACTGGATTTAAAAAAACTATCACACACACACACACACACACACACACATACACACACACACTGGAATACTACTCAGCTGTTAGATGAAATCATGCAATTTGCTGTGGTGTGAATGGATCTGGAGAGTTGTCATTCTGAGTGAGGCTAAAAGGAGAGGGACAGGTACAGAATGATATGTGGGACTTAACCATAGTGGAGGGAATAAAAAATGCCCGAAGGCAACATAAAATGAACACAAATTTTCAGTAGAAAACTTACTGTGTGTGGGGGAGGGGAGGAGGGAGAGGGCGAGTCGGGTGTGATGAAGAAGAGATAGGATTGAGATAACACTGGGACAATGGTGGAGGAAGTGGGCACTGTTGGAGGGTGTGGTTCTGTAATGTTTTGTGCATGAGATCTTAAAGTTTTGTAAACTGTGGTTCCTAACAAAAATTCTAGGGTTGGGGAGAGAGCTCAAAGGGCTGGAGTATATGCCTTGCATGGAGAGGCCCCCAAGTTCAATGTCAGGACACACGTGGTTCCCCAGGTTCTATCATATGTAGCTCTGGTGACACCTAGCACTGCATTCCTGGGCTGAGCACTATTGGGAGTAAGTCCCAGGTTTCCTGAGCCCAGATTGAGAGCCCTCCCTTCCCATTTCTAAATCTGTTACAGGAAAAAGGATCATAGTTACATGTCCTCTGATTTTCTTGTTATAGGTGTTCCAGGACTTGGGGACTGAAGTTTTGTCTGGAGCTGCCAGAGGCTACAACATATGCCTTTTTGCCTACGGACAGACAGGTTCTGGGAAAACATACACCATGCTGGGAACCCCAGTGAGTATCAGGATTGGGATGCAGTGTCTTGTTTTGTTTTTGTTTTGTGGGCATATACAGCAGTACTCAGGGCTTACTCCTATCCTACACTCAGGGACCACTCCTGGTAGGGCTTGGAGACCCATATAGGGTGATGGAGATTGAACCAGGTCGGCTGCATACAAGACAAGCCCTGTACCCTCAGAATTATCATTCCGGCTCTGGGATGCAGTATCTTATGCCATCACTAGCCTAATTCTTGCCATTCAGAAGGAGAATGTGAGTTCCATTGTTGCATTAGTAGACCTGCTTTTTCAGTAGCACTGTAGCACTGTCCTCCCATTGTTCATCAAGTTGCTGTTGTGAGACTTGTGTTTGGCATATCAAATACGTCACGTGGAGCTTTCCAGGCTTTGCCATGTGGGCGAGATTCTCTCGGTAACTCGCCAGGCTCTCTGAGAGGGGTGGAGGAATCGAACTCAGGTCGACCAAGTTGGCAGCGTGCAAGGCAAACACCCTATCGTGTGCTATCGCTCCAGCCCGCTTTTTAGTAAGAATGGCTTTCTCAGCACTTTAGCTGTAAACAAAAAAAATTTAGGTCTACGTTATTAAACCCTGATGAATTTTACAATTTTTAACTCCCTTTAATGAAATAGACCTTATGAATCCTGATTTGCTGAATATTAATTTCTCATATAGTTTCTAAGTTCATCAACTGAAGCTTTTTAGTACAGTTGGAAAAGAGAAGAACCCTCACTGAATAGTGAGTGTTTGCAAGTAATATACAGAAATGGAGCTACTTCTGTTAAACTTGAATTTTAGAGGTAGAGGTAGAAGCTTTCAAAAGTTTCATGACTTTAGTAAGTATTCCTTTATGAAGAAAATTAGAGGGGTAGAGTTTCTTAAGAATATCTCTTTATGGAGCTGGAGAGAGAGCACAGCAGTTAAGACACTTGCCTTGCATGCAGTAGACTGGCATAATTTTTGGTACCACGTATGGTTCCCGGAGCACTGCCAGGAGTGATTCTTGAACACAGAGTCAAGAGTAATTCCTGAGTACTACCAGATATGGCCCCCCACAAATTAAAAATTCTTTTGGGATTCAAAATAATGGTGGTGGGAAGGTATGATGGTGGTGGAATTGGTGTTAAAATGTTGAATGTAAACAATTATTGTGAACAACTTTATGAAATTAAAATTAAAATTAAAAAAAATAATCTGGAGCTCATGTTTGCTTCACTCAGCTTAATCAGTGGCTGAATGAATAGCAGAACTCCTACATTAAAAAAAAGTCATTTGGGAAGGGCGCCGCATACCCAGCACTTCTCAGACCTTACTCTTTGCTCTGTGTTCAGGAATCACTCCTGATAGTTTGTAGGAGATCATATGCAGAGCCACAAATAGAGGCAGGGTCAGTCATATGTGAAGAAAGCACCTAAATCCCCATCCTGTTTTTGTGACCTCAAGAATACCACTTTGTACACTGGTGAAATGCACTGGTGGGGCAGGTGTTGAGTGACACTCCCAATGGACGTTCTCTGGGACACTGTTCTTCCTAAAACAGTGTTTTTTAGGAAGAACACTGTTCTCCCTCTTCTGTCAGTCCAGCTTATAGCTTACTTTAACCATGTGTGGTCTCTCATATTTGAAATATAAAAAGAAGAAAATGTTCACTAAACCAGGGAGACAAAGCTTCTATCCTAAGTAAAAATCCTTCCTTCCTTCCTTCCTTCCTTCCTTCCTTCCTTCCTTCCTTCCTTCCTTCCTTCCCCCTGAGTATAAATTCTAAGATGAATAAAGACACCACTTCTCATCAGTATATATTCAGAACCTCGGCGTACACCGGGCTGTCTGGGGATAGAGAGTTGAAGCTGGCCTCTGGTGGATTCACTCTGCTAAGTGGATCTATCTGAGAAGGCCTCCGCCTTCTGGGTCTGAAAGCAGGTACCTGAGTTTGCCAGCTGCTTCTCCCTTCCTTTGTGGGGTGGCTCTGCCTCTCCTCTAGCACAGTCCTCCCTGGAGTCCCCTGATTGCCTGGACACATGGTTGTTAGCAGACCCCCAGTGCCTAGGGTGACGGGGCTCAGAGAGCCGGTGCCCGTCACTGAGCCAAGGAGGCTTCCTGCGTACTGGGCAGAGTAGCTCCATGCTGAATGTAACATTTCCCTTCCTTCTGTTCTCCAGGCCTCTGTTGGATTGACACCTCGGATTTGTGAGGTACTGAGTCTCTTCTCACGGGATCCTGTCAAAGTAGGTCTCCTTTTGTTCAGACCCTCCAATAAGACCCCAACCCTCTGGTTTGTGCAGGGCCTCTTCAGCACAGAGGAAGACTGCCCCCCACAGCGGTCCTCCTGCAGGATAAAAGTAAGGTAAGAACCTATTGGACCTTGTGTGTTTCTGTTCCCAACTATGACATGTTAAGATGTCTTCTTGTTGCTTTCAAAGTTTTCTATGTTCTGAAAGCAGAAAAATCTTACAGGCGTTGGAGATATAGCACAGCAGGTAGGTCTCTGCCTTGCATGCAGCTGACCTAGGTTTGATATCCGTTATCCTATATGATCCCCACCAAGCATCCCCAGAGTAATTTTTGAATGTAGAGTCAGGAGTAACCCCTGAGAATCTCTGGGTATGACCCAGAAAAGTGCCCTTACCTGTTGTACTATCACTGCAGCCCCAATATTCGTTTTTTTGATTTTTATTTATTAATTTTTGCTTTTTGGGTCACACCCAATGATGCTCAGGGGTTACTCCTGCCTCTGCACTCAGGAATTACTCCTGGTGGTGTAATCATTTGGGATGCCAGGGATTAAACCTGGGTCGACTGAGTGCAAGGCAAATGCCCTACCCCTTGTACTATTACTCTGGCCCTGCAAATATTCTTTTTTTAAATTATTTTTTTAAAACTAAATAATTATGAACATTATTTTTTAAGTTTGCAAAATAGAAATCACAAGCTTATATTTTGTGTATATATTGTGTGTATAGTTTGTATATATTTTGTGTGCTTGTTTGTTTGTTTAAGAGAGAGAAAGATCTTATAGCTTATAGCCCATGAAATCTGGGAACTGCTATTCTGACACAGCCAAGTTCTGGGCCTTGAACTCCAGCCCTCTGAGCTATGAGCAGGGAGAGAAAGGATTGGAGAAGAAGGTGCATATTGTTCAGCTGAGAGTTGGAGACTTTTGGGAGTGGGGATCTGTTGCTGTCTACATATAGCCTTTGTGTTCTTGGTGCTTTGGTGAGGAAGAACATTTTGTGAGAACCATGCTTTATTTAACAAAGAATTATATCTGAGTTTTATCTGTTTTAAAAAAATTTTTTTTGGGGAGCACATGTTATGGTATATAGGGGTGCTATTCCCAGTTCTGTGCTATGGAGTCACTTCTGGTGGTGCTCAGGGGACTATGTGATGCAGGGACTTGAACTAGGTCTCAAATCCAGAGCAGGTACTCATTCCTTTGAGCAATCTCTTTAGCTTGAATTATTATTGTGTGAAGGAGGGTAGGTCGGGTCGTATCTGATAGTAATCTTTTTTTTTTTTGCTTTTGTGACTTTTTTTTGAGGGGGGTCACACTTGGAAATACTCAGGGGTTCCTCCTGGCTCTGCACTCAGGAATTACTCCTGGTGATGCTCGGGAGACGATATGGGATGCCAGGAATTGAACTGGGGTTGGCTGCCTATAAGGCAAAAGTTTTCCCTGCTGTACTATTGCTCTGGCCTGTATTCAACAGTATTTAGGACTTGTTCCTGGGATTATTTCTGGGGGTGTGGGGGAACTTTATGTGGTGCTGGGGATCAAACCAAGGTCACCTGTGTGCAACACTCTACACTAGCCCTTCCATTACTTCGTGGCTATGTAGGTTCACAGAACAACATGGTTCCAAGATCATCTTTTAAAACCGCTCCAAAAAATAAGATCAGGACCAGAGAAATAGTACAAGGTTAAGGCACTTACCTTGCTTATTGCTGACACTGATTTTATCCTCAGCACCTAGGAATGATCCCTGGGCACAGATCCAGGAGTGAGCCCTGAAGACTACTGAGTGTGACCCCCAAACCAAAAAAAATATCAATAAATGAATAAATCAGAATAAAATAAGATAAAGTAGAAAGCTAAGGGAGGGGCTGGGGACATAGCTCAGAGGACTGGAGTTCAAGGCCTGGAGCTCAGTACTTGATACTTCACAGTCCCTGGGGTACCACCAGGTGTTGCCCTGCAGGTTCCTGATCACCAATGTATTGATTCTGGTCACCCTCAGCAGTGCTGGACCTAAGTAGCATCACATCACTGGGCCCAGGCATTGAACCATTAGGTTCATTACACTGAGTATTTCCAGGAGTGGCTCCTGGGTCCCCTGAACATCTTTTGGAAGACCCTAAAATATAATGGAATAGGTGCCAGGGAGATATCACAAAGGGCTGAAGCACATACTCTATGTGTGGGTTTGATCCCCAGCACTGAATTGTTCCCTGGTTGAGCCAATGTGGCCCCACAGCAGCTTGCCAGGAACGAGCCTGCAAGCACTACTAGCTGTGCAACCCCCCCCCCCCCCCCAATTTAGGATTTTCTGGGGGCCAGTTCCATAGTATAGCAGGTAGGCCAAGTTAAATGCCCAGCATCCCTTATGGTCCCCCATGCACCACCAGGAATAATTCCTGACTCTAGAGCTAGGAGTAACCTCTGAGCACTCCCAGGTGTGGCCCAAAAAAGAAAAAAAATCTAGGACTTTCTGATTCTAGGCTTACTGCTTTCCCCATGTTTTTCAAAATCTAGTTGTGGTGGCTTTAAAAAAAAGAATTCAACTTGGAAAAGATGCTACCATTATTTGCAAATCTAATCATGTTCTTTTTTCTACATGTCTGTAGTTTTCTAGAAATCTATAATGAGCGGGTACGAGATCTGTTGAAGCAATCGGATCAAAAAAAATCCTATACTCTGCGGGTCAGGGAGCACCCGGAGATGGGACCCTATGTACAAGGTGAGCCGCTGTGGTTCCTAGAGGTCTGAGAACAAGCTGAGCCCCAGATGTTATTAATTTAGCTAGCAAATGTATGAGTACTTTCTCTGTGCCAGTTTCTGTAGTAGATATTGGATACATACCTACGAACAGGAAGGAAGTCCTGTCCTCATAGGCAAGCTGACAGTCTAGTAGGTGTGAGTCAGAAAGTAGAATCACAAATTGTGATAAAGGCTTATAAAAATAAATAGAAGCTGCAATGGGCCTGAACACTAGGAAGTAGGTGACCTGGGACAGTTACATATGTTGTATTTTTTTTTTGTGTGTGTGTAGTAGGGGGGTCGCCCTTGGCACAGCTCAGGATTCATGCTCCCCATATTGCTTGTGGAAACCTTTTGGTGCCGGGGGCCAAACCAGAGACTTCTGCATATAAAGGCGCATTTCAGCCCTTTGCACAATCTCCCCATCATATGAAAAATGGTGTGGCAAGAGAAGGAATGTTTTCTGTTGGAACAGAAGTATGAGCTTCTGCCCTAAGAGACTTGGTAGTCTTAAAGAGGCCAGTGCATCTAAAACATGGTGAGTGTGGGGCAGAATATCAGGCAACAAGGATATGTAGGAAGTCCTAGGTCCAGCAGGGACAACTGACTCCCAGGTAACTCAGTCTCCTTTTGAGGTGTTTTCTTTTTTCACTGATTATAGAGAGGGGGATTTGTGGACATTTGGAGTAAGGTCTGAGCTAACTTTCTCAGACTCTGATATTTGGTGATACTCTCAGTTTTATTTTATCATGTCAGGTTTTGCTATTAGGAAGGTTAGGATGTTTTGTGAGGAAATTCTTTTTAAATTGCACCAACGTGCAATATGGTTACAAAGTTTTTATGATTAAGTTTCAGTCATACAATGATTGAATACCCACCCCTCCACCAGTATTTTCTACCACCAATATCCCCAGTATCCCTCCCACCACCCCAACCCCAACCCACCCCCGCGTCCGTGGCAGGTACTTTCCTTCTTACTCTTTCTCCACTTTGGGGCATCATAGTTTGCAATATAGATACTGAGTGGCCATCATATTTGGTCCTTAGTCTACTTTCAGCACACATCTCCCATTCCAAGCGACTCCTCCAGCCATCATTGACTTAGTGGTCCCTTCTCCATCCTAACTGCCTTTTTCTCCAACACATGAGACATGCTTCCAAACCATGGAGTGATCCTCCTGGCTTGTCTCTACCGTCCTTGGGTGTTAGTCTCATGTTATTTTATATTGTGGAGGAAGTTTTTAACTGTCAGGTCACTCAGTAAGTAGAACAGTAGTACAGTGGGTAGGGTGCTTGTCTTGCAGGCTGCTGACCCAGGATCAATCCCCCGCTCTGCATATAGTTCCCTGAACCTTGTTAGGAGTGATTCCTGAGCCCAGAACCAGGAGAAAGGCCTGAGCTCTGCCCTCCCCACCACCTCCAAGTAAAGAATAAACATGAAATATTCTGCTCCTATTCCCATAGAAGTACACTAGTTTAAATCCTGGCAAGGAAAGAAACAAAAACCATCAAGAACTGTTCTCTTTTCTCACCAGAGCATGGCCAATAGAGGACTCCCTAGGGGTGCCAGTCACTGGTGCTGCTACTAGTGTCTGTTCCTAAATGTTCCCCCATCAATGGCAAATCCTGCAAATAGTCACCAAGATACTATGCTCTGCTGGGAGACACTTGGAATTTCTTCTGTAAAATCCTGTGAATAGGGATAGGATAGTGGAATCAGGTTCAGTGGGCTGGAGCACATGTTTTGCATGCAGGAGTCCCAAGTGTGCTTCCTTCAAGTGCAATAGCGCAGTGGGTAAGGCGTTTGCCTTGCACGCGGCCCACCAGGTCGGCCCAGGTTCGATTCCTCCGCCCCTCTTGGAGAGCCCGGCAAGCTACCAAGAGTATCTCGCCCACACGGCAAAGCCTGGCAAGCTACCCTTGATGTATTTGATATGCCAAACACAGTAACAACAAGTCTCACAATGGAGACGTTACTGGGCCTGCTTGAGTAAATCAATGAAAAACAGGAGGACAGTGCTACAGTGCTAAAAAAAAAAAGAGCAAGAAGAAGAAACTGTGAATATATATATCTGTGTAAAGTGATACTTTGAAGGCAGAGTGTGTGTTGATGTAATGTCACCACTTCAACTTTTAACATTTTTTTTATTTTTTAAAAGTTAACTTTACTGAGTTAATATAGCTTATAGCCATCTATGTATTATTGTTTTATACTTACAATGATACTTTACCACCCCATCACCAGAGTGTCCCTCTACCATTGTGTCAAGGCCCCTTCTCCTCCCCACTGCTCTGATCTTTTCAGTTTAGGTCCACTGCTTTGTTTGCAGTATCTCAGAGCTTGTTTCCATTGGGAGTTGTCTGATCCTTCTGTCTCATTATATTCTACATGTGAGTAAGATCAACTGCTATTTGTCTTTCATCCTCTGGACATTCACCTTATCCTGATACCCTCCAGTTCAATCCAGGTTGCAGCAAACAGCATAATTTCATCTTTCTTCTTAGCTGAGTAGTATTCCGTCGTGTCTGTACACCTCTTTCTTTGGGGGGGGGGTCACACCTGGCGATGCACAGAGGTTACTCCTGGCTTTGCACTCTCCTCCCATTTCTTCATAAATTAGCTCAAATAGAGAATCAGCCTGGGAAGTCAGATCTTGTGTCATTCCCATTACTGTTCTCTAGTATCATTACAGGGCTGGAGCGATAGCACAGCGGTAGGGCGTTTGCCTTGCACGCAGCTAACATGGCCGACCCGAGTTAGATTCCTCTGCCCCTCTCGGAGAGGCCATCAAGCTACCGAGAGTATCTCGCCTGCACGGCAGAGCCTGGCAAGCTCCCCGTGACGTATTCGATATGCCAAACACAGTAACAACAAAGTCTCCAGTGGAGACGTTACTGGGCCCGCTTGAGCAAATCGATGAACAACGGGAGGACAGATCAGACAGGACAGACAGTATCATTACAGCAAACTTTTTCTTTGTATAGGAGGAGCCACCCCTGTGGCACTCTGTCCTGGGACTTGTCTCAGCAATACTCACCCTGGTAATGGATCCTGAAGGATTGATGCTCAGCCTGGGGATGTGATGTTTCTCAGCCCCAATGGTGCAGGACCATATATGAAGACAGTATCCAGCAGGGCGGAACGGGATGGGGTGGAAAAAGGATGTGGGGATGTAGTACCAGGGATTGAATTTGGGGCCTCACATATGCAAGCCATGCACTGTGGCCCTTTCAGTTATCTCCCTCGCTCCATTAAAAAAAACTTCTAAGTTTTTAAATTTCAATTAAAAAAATTTCCCTTCTATTCTCCTTTTCTTGTCACTGTTGTTATTGCAGTGACAAGTGTACCAAGTGAATACGCACTTGGTACTCACACCCTTGGTTGTGATCCTCAGTAAACATTTGCAAAATTTTTATATCTGGCCACAGTGCTTGTGTTGCTGTTATTATTGTTTTTCTCTTTTAGTTTGTTTTTGATTTTGGACCATACCCAGCAAAATTAAGGGCTTACTTCTGGCTCTGTGCTCAGGGATCATAGTTGGCAGTGCTCAGAAGACCATATGGGGTGTTGGGGGATGAACCCAGGTCTGCCATATGAAAGGCAAGTGCCTTACCTGCTGTTCTATCACTCTGGCCCCTTTTTGTGCATTTAAGTCGCAATGTTCACACACCCTGCTTTGTCTCTGTCTCCTGGGATTCCAAAAAATAGTGCTACTGGGATTACACTCAGGGACTGTGCCAGGGATCAAATTGGCAATATGCATGCAAGGCAAGAGCTTTACCACCAGGTATTCCTAAACACTTAAGAAAAAAATGTTTTATTCACCTCTATTATCTGTCTGTCTGCTTATCTCTATCGATAACTACTTTTAACTCTACATCTGTTCTTGCATCCATCCCACTGTCTGCAGGCGTATATGTTATATGACTATGATTTCAAAGTGGAAAGTGGTTTATCATTTCTGGTTTGAAACCAATTTTACAGGAATTTATTGAATATCTACTGGAGGCCTATGTAATACAAGCTAATATGGGAATATAAAATAGAAATATGAAAATTCTATAAAAATGCTTTAAAAACTTACAGTTCCAGGTCAGAATTGTGAAATGAGAGGTTAATGAATTCTGAAATGAAGAGGACTGAGCCCAGAGCACACATAAGTTGCTGAACAAAAGGTCTAAAGCAGCAACTCTCAGTTACTAGTCTACAGGCTCGTGCTGGTTCACAGGTGTAGACTGTTTGAAGAGTGCTGGTCTATAATGATATCTAAGTGAGACAAGACAGGTGTTCTTACTTTTACATTTATCGAAACATAAAGAAATAGGTATGAAACAAGGGGTGTTTTGGGTGACTCTGAAGAAAAACTATTTTTCAGTTTCTATTTATTCTCAAACTGCAAATATAAGATTTTTTTCTTTTTTACCTTTTCAATTCTTGCACTCCACCCTCCCCCCCCGCACCCCGTCTTTCTGTACTGACCTCTACTACTTACTAAGAATCATAACAGGAGGAAACTTTTGCCATTAACTTTTACCATGTTGTTTCAAGTAGTTTGCTTTTTATTTTATTATTTATTTATTTTTCATTTTTTATAATTTTATTTATTGAATCACCGTGAGAGCAGTTACAAAGCTTCCAGGTCTAAGTCTCGGTCATACAATGAAACACCCGTACCTTCACCAGTGCCCATTCTCTACCCTCAACAACCCCAGTATATCCCCATGCCACACCCTCCCTCTACCTGTGGGGCAGATGATTTCCACATTACTCTCTCTCTCTCTATTTTGATTACATTCAATGTTTTGACACCAGACCCACCATTATTATTTGAGATTTTACCCCAACACTCAGATCTGCTGAAAAGGCAACAGTAGACAATTTGTGTTCTATTGCTGGTTATGAATAACATATGATGTTGCGTGGCTGCAGTAGTGGCCACACAATTTTGAAATTCTGAAATTTTAACACTTAAATCTGGA